TGTAGCTCCAGGTATCACATATTTTTTCAATATTTCATTTAACACTTTTAAAGTTCCATGCATGTAATAAGGCACTTTGATTTTAAAACCATAATAGCTGTATTCTTTTGTAGATGCTCCATCAAACTGAGGAAAATCATTCCCTTTATAGTTGATAAAGGCTTTTTCTAAAAAATCATAAATGGGTGTTGAATTTTGCCAAATATTTTATTACATTGACTGAGATCATATGAATCATATGAATTTTCTTCTTTATTCTGTTTATGTAGTGAATGACATTGATTGATTTTCAAATGTTGAGCCAGCTTTGCATTCCTCAAAAAAAATCTCACCTGGTAATGCCATCTTGCTCTTTTCAGATGTTGCTGGATTTGATTTGCCAATTTTGTTTTTTGGGTTTTTTTGTTTGTTTGTTTGTTTTTTTTTTTTTTTTGGTATGAGGCAGATGCCATATAAGTTTATTATATTTAGGAAAAAAAATATAACTGGAAATAAAGGTAAGTCATTTGAATGAGAGTTCTGAAAGCCCTATAATCTTTAATGGCAGCATTTGGATCCACTGCCCAAGCCACTTTTAACCCAACCAAGATGCTGGAAAGCAGAACACACGGTTGTGCCCATCAAACCCAGGAGGGCGATGGACCCCAGGGCTCCTCGACTACGCTTGCTGGGGTCTCCCGTGTAATAGCCATAAGCATAAAGAACTCGTCCAACAATCCAGGCCAAGCCCAAGCCAGACGCAATACGCGGGTGGTAAACACCTCCAACAGCTAGAAAAAATAAGAAGGGAGGATAGGCTTCCAACGTGTTCTGGTGGGCTCGCTGAATGCAGTTGAATAGGTGCCCATTTTCATGGTCCGTGCTGTACATGGTAGGATACTCCACTTTGTACTTCTTGCAGGCCTTGGAAACATTGAAGGCTAGGTGGGCCACCATGATAAAGCTGGCAGCGCCAGTTAGAAGCGTGAAACCATATTCCTTAGAGAGGACAGCCATCTCGTGTCTGGATCACCTACGAACGGCTGGTGCAGAACAAAACTGTGCAGTGCAGTGTGGGTGCGGCGCCCTCGCCTGGAGCGGGGCTAGGCGGGGCAAGGGCGCCGTTTGTTTGTTTTTTTGAGATGGAGTCTTACTCTGTCACCCAGTCTCTATGCAGTGGCACAATCTCGGCTCACTTCAACCTCCACCTTTAAGCAATTCTCCTGTCTCAGCCTCCTGAGTAGCTGAGATTACAGGCGCCCACCACCTTGCCTGGCTAATTTTTGTATTTTTAGTAGAGACGGAGTTTCACCATATTGGCCAGGCTGGTCTCAAATTCCTGACCTCTGGTGATCTGCCCGCCTCAGCCTCCCAAAGTGCTGGGATTATAGGCATGAGCCACTGCGCCCAACCTGGATTGGCCAATATTTTGTTAAAGTTTTTGCATCCATGTAAGAAATGAGGTGTGTGATTTTCTTTCCTTTTTATATCTTGGCATCAGGATTATTCTAAACTTACAAATTAAAAAGTGTTCTCTCCTTCGTTTTTTCAAAAGAGTTTATATAAAATCAATATTATCTTTCTTAAATGATTGATAAACATTTACTAGTGAAACCATCTTGCTCTGGAATTTTCTTCTAGGGACCTTAAAGATATGGGGTGATTCAAATGTTCTACTTCTTCCTGTTCCAGTTTTGGGAAGTTGTACTTTTTGAATATTTTTTCCATTTAATGTAAATTGTTGAAACTGTCAGCATAAAGTTATTCATAATGTTTTCTTATATTTTTAATTTCTGTGTATCAGTAGGGAAATTCCTCTTTTATTCTTGGTATTTGTTATTTGTGTTTTTTTCTCCTGATCAATCTCACTAGGAATTTAGCAATTTTGTTAATATTTTCAAAGAACCAACTTGTGAGTTGGTTAATGTCTCACATTATTTTTTATTTTTATTTTTCTCCTATTCACTTTGGATTTAATTTGCTTTCTTATTTGAACTTCATAAGGTGGAAACTTAGATAATCGATTTCAAACCTTTTTTCTTTACTAACATAAACTTTTAAAGCTATAAATTTCTCTTTAAGGACTGCTCTGGCTGCATTCCACAAATTCTGATGTAGTTTCACTATCATTCTATATACAGTGTTTGTTTGTTGAGACAGAGTCTCGCTCTGTCACCCAGGCTAGAGTGCAATGGCGTGGTCCTGGCTCATTGCAAACTCTGCCTCCCGGGTTCAAACGATTCTCCTGCCTCAGCCTCCTGAATAGCTGGGATTACAGGTGCCTGCCACCACGCCCAGCTAATTTTTGTATTTTATTAGAGACAGGGTTTCACCATATTGGCCCGGCTGGTCTGGAACTCCTGACTTTGTGATCCACCAGCCTCAGCCTTCCAAACTGCTGGGATTACAGGCGTGAGCCACCGCACTCAGCCCAGTGTTTTCTAATGTTCTTACAACCATGCCTGGCATAAAGTACTTAGTGAGTGTTCCCTACTGTTAGCTCCAGTATTTGTTTCTCTTGTTAACAAGTGAGAACAATCCCCTTCAGAGCCTCTTTGCTGTTTCCACTGACTGAAATACTATTCCTTCATATAGGCCAGGAATTCTAATAAATTTCCATCCCTTGTGCAGGTGTGGCCTCAGACATCACTACCTCAAAGAAGCGTTCCCTGATGAACCAGACCGGAATGGTCCTCTCATACACTAAGTCAAATAGAGACCACAACCATCCCCAAAACAATTCATGTCTGCCCAGAACCCATGAATGTAACCTTATTTGCAAATAGAGTCTTTGCATATAGAATCAAGTTAATATGAGATCATAAGATCACACTGGAGACCAGGCACGGGGCTCACACCTGTAATCCCAGCACTTTGGGAGGCCGAGGCCCGCGGATTATGAGGTCAAGAGATCAAGACCAGCCTGGCCAACATGGTGAAACCCCATCTCTACTAAAAATACAAAAATCAGCGGGGTGTGGTGGCGCACACCTGTAGTTCCAACTACTCAAGAAGCTGAGGAAGGAGAATCACTTGAACCTGGGAGGTGGAGGTTGCAGTGAGCTGAGATCGCACCACTGCACTCCAGCCTGGATGACAGAGTGAGACTCCTCAAAAAAAAAAAAAAAATCACACTGGATTAGGGCGAGCCTTAAATCTGATATGACTGGTGTGTTTATGAGAAGAAAGAAACTTAGAGACAGAGACCCAGACACACAGAGATAACACCATGTGACAACAAATTCAGAGACCAAAGTGATGCCTCTATAAGCTAAGGAAGACCAAGGATGGCTGGCAGCCACCAGAAGCTAGGAAGAGGCAAAGAAGGATCCTCCCCTCAATCTTCAGAGACAGCACGGCCCTGCTGACACCTTGATTTCAGGCTTCTGCCACCTAGAACTGGAAGACAATCAATTCTCCTGCTTTAAGCCACCCAGTTTAGGGCAATTCGTCACTGCATCTCTAGAATGTAATACACGAAGTTACATGTTTCCATCCTATCTAATATTTTTCTTTCCTAGCTCTTATCAGATTATTACATATGAATTATCTGGAAATATGAATGGTGTGATAAGACATACTAGTCGGGCATTTTTTCTCTCTCTCTCTCTCTGAGACGGAGTCTCACTCTGTTGCCCAGGCTGGACTGCGGTGGCACAATCTCTGCTCACTGCAACCTCTGCCTCCTGGGTTCAAGCAATTCTCCTGTCTCAGCCTCCTGAGTAGCTGGGATTACAGGCACAAAAAGACACCGTGCCTGGCTAATTTTTGTATTTTAATAGAAATGGGATTTCGCCATATTGTTAAGGCTGGTCTTATACACCTAACCTCAAGTAATCCACCTGCCTCAGTCTCCCAAAGTGCTGGGATTACAGGTATGAGCCACCATGCCCGGCCTAGTCTGGCATTTCAGTAGAGCCCTCCTTAAGAAAGACTATCATAACCCGGCCAGGCTCGGTGGCTCACGCCTGTAATCCCAGGACTTTGGGAGGCCAAGGTGGGTGGATTTTAAGGTCAGGTGATCAAGGCCATCCTGGTCAACGTGGTGAAACCCTGTCTCTACTAAAAATACAAAAATTAGCTGGGTGTGGCAGCATGCACCTGTAGTCCCAGCTACTCAGGAGGCTGAGGCAGGAGAATTGTTTGAACCTGTGAGACAGAAGCTGCAGTGAGCCGAGATGGCACCACTGCACTGTCAGGAGTTCAAGACCAGCCTGACCAACAGAGAGAAACCCTGTCTCTACTAAAAATATAAATTTAGCTGGGTATGGTGGTGCATGCCTGTAATCACAGCTACTCAAGAGGCTGAGGCAGGAGAATTGCTAGAACCTGGGAGGCAGAGATTGCAGTGAGCCAAATAGCGCCGTTCCACTCTAGCCTGGGCAACAAGAGCGAAACTATGTCAGAAAGAAAAGAAAGAAAAGAAAGAGAGAAAGAGAGAGAAAGAAAGGAAGGAAGGAAGAAGGGAGGGAAAGAAGAAAGAAAGGAAGAAAGAAAAGAAAGAGAAAGGAAGAAAGGAAGAAAGAAAGGAAGAAAAGAAAGAAAAAGAGAAAGAAAGAAAAGAAAGAAAGAAAGAAAAAAAGAAAAGAAAAGAAAGAGAAAGAGAAAGAGAAAGAGAAAGAAAGGAAGGAAGGAAGGAAGGAAAGAAAGGGCTACCATAACCCCAACCAGTGTCTCCAATGGTAAGGATTTTGAAAGGCTGATAATTTTAAAGGAACCTATCCTTAAAATCACAACATATCAGTGGCTAGCTTCAGCTTCTCAATGCTGGCCTTGGATCACAGGATTTTCTAGTGTGTAAATTATCCAAACGAGTCATCTCTTATAGCAACAGATTGTCAAAAAAAAAAAAAAAGACACTGATGCAGGAGTCATGTGGAGTGGAGTCAGAAACATTGGTTCTACTCTCCCCTCTGCCGCCAGGGAGTCTTGGGCAATTCACCCCACCCCTCTGGGTTCCAGGCTCTTAACTGTAAAAGAAGGTGATTGGGGCTAGACAGTAGAGTCACTTTGGCTCTTACCTTCTGTGGCTTCATGGTTTCTTCCATGAACAGTAGCTGAATCCAGCAAGAGGAGGTGACCCAGGCAGACCAAGAAGGATTCTGCGTTAAGATGTAAAACTACCAGTTCTGGCTAAGCTTGTTTGATCAATGGAACGGAATAGACGTTTCTAGGGCTCTTGTTTTTAAAAATGTTCTAAAGTGGCTGCGTGGGCCGGTCACTTCCTATCTCTGGCCCACAGTGCATTCCTCTGTATAAAAGGACGGAACCCGGGATTCCCAAGGTCTCTTCCAGCACTCAAGTACAAAGTTCTGTAACTTCAAAGCAGTTTATTGGTAAGCCAGAGAGAGGCCTTGAGCTAGTATAGGTCATGGGGTCAGTCTCAGGACCGCTCCTCACTTTCTTTCTTCTCATAACCATTGCGTGCGCTGGGGGGGGATGGGGCAGGCTGTCTCCCCCAACGCAGGCTCTAACATATGCCATTGGCGGGCAAGAATTAAATTCAGGCTCTACCTCTCACGAATTCGTGAGAGACCTCAAGAGGACTGAGTAAGTGTGAGCCTCCGTTTCCCCACCTGTGAAACAGGGAGAGTTACCGGCGACGGTATAAAAATGTAAAGCGTTGAGCAACAAACGCTATTTTCTATATCCGTTAGGAGCACTAAGGAAAAATAAACTGTGGTGTCCTAAGTACGCTACGGTTCGCTAGTGACCAGACGAGCACCACGCCACAGTACTGGGTGCCTCCGTGGCGCCACTCCCACTTTTCTCACGCACTGCGCGGTGGCGTGGCCGCGGGGATCCACCGAACGGCCCAGCGCTCGGACGCCAATCACCGTAGATCAGGCTCCGCTCTCGGGCGCACTGCGCGCCCCTCGCGTGCGCGCTCCCGCCGCCAGCGTGCGCGCTCCGGGAACCGGCGGTGACGCGACGCCGGTGGGGGCTGTTTGGGGGTGCGGCTCCGGGAAAGCAGCGCGGCCTCCAGGAAGCCGGCTGGCCGTTGCTGCCGCCTCGCCGCGGTGGCCGTGATGCTGCCCGCTGGCGGTCCCCCGCTCCCGGGAGCCCCGGCCGGCCAAGCAGGTGAGGCTGTCTTCCGGGGGCAGGTGAGAGAAGGGGGGAGGCCGAAGGGGTCGGCGTCGGCGGGTAGGTTGGAGCGCTGCGGCCGGCAGCGCGGCGAGCCGGCCGTGGACTAGCCTCTGTGCCCTGTGCGCCTGCCACCGCCCGCTCAGCCCCGCGGACCGATTCCCGCCGCCCCGGCCGCGTGGCCACATCCGGGAGCCCGGGTACCAGCTCCTGTGAGCCCTGGGGGCCGTCGCGCTCCCCCAGCCGCTGGCGGGGGACACCTGGCGGTCGCGCGCCTCCGGTGACCGCGCAGGATCCCTCCCTCGAGTGGGCGGAGCCTGGCCGGGCAGCTGGGGATGCTGCACCGGGGACGCAGCCGGCCCTGCCTGCCGCTTTCAGTGATGACATTCGCACGTCTTGTTTTCGCTTCACTCTGCTTTTGCAAGGTTTCTTGTTAAATTTCTTCCTGGAAGAATGGAGCTCATTGGGCAGTAAAGTGATGATATACAGCAGTGTTTCTGAACTTGAGTAATGCGGGAACTCCTTTTAAAGGGACGATTCTCAGATTGTCTAGAATGTGTCCCAGAACCCTTAGGGTACTCCAGACCTCAGTTAGATAAACCCTGGTGCAGAGTGTTTTCAGAGAACATTTATCGCGAAGGAAGCCAAAGAGATGCTTTCTAATTCAGGAACTTTCAGGCTGGAAGGTAAACTAGAGGTAACTGAAGAATTCAAAGGAGAGACTCAAGGCCCAGGTTAATTTCACATCGCAGTCTTTGTTGTCTTCTGCTTTCTGTGATGAAAATACCAAATTATCCAGCTTTAGAGAGGCCTAAAAGAATTATATTGTGTTACCATATATTTGATGTTGTTTTTGTATTGTTTGTTAATTCTGTTTGACATATTAAAATTATAAAATGGAATACCAATTCGTATAATTTTTTCTCTGTTTATCTTAACGTTGATTTATCTCTTATAGTTGTTGCTTATTGAATCTATGGCTGATATTCTTCTAGCCCTAATGGGAAAACAAGGGCCTGTGTGACCCAGGCTCTTGAGGGTAAGGAAAAATAAACGGCGGTGTCCTAAGTACGCTGCGGGTCGCTCATCAGTAGACGAGCTGGTCCTCTAGGAAGGAGAGATGAAAGTGAAAATTTATCTGAAGATTTATATTCTCTACGTGTTTATTCAGCATGTTTATTTAAAATAGACTACCCATGAACAAAGAGGTGATTCCAAGTGTGGGAAAAAATCAGGATGTGTGACAGGTTAAATCTTGACAAAGAAAAATGTTGGCCTGTGCCTTGAAAGAAGTGCAATGTTGAGAGGAGGACACGGTGGTTGGGAGGAAGTCTGTTAGCCTGAGGCAGGCGTGGGGACAGCTTGTGTGGGAGAGAAGTGAGAGACCTTCGGCACTGGAGCGGAGAGATGGTATCTGGGACTGATGAGAGGCCAGATTGGTGAGATAAGGTGAACCAGTTGATGGAGAAAAGGTTTCAGATGCCACACAGGAAACTTGGTATTGATCCATGGGCTTCCAGAAGGTTCTTAGCTGGTCATATTTCGAAGGCCGTGTTTTAGGAAGAGATGCTTACAAAGCATGGTGTGCACAGTGAAGGCAGAAGGTGACAAGAAATCTGTCTTGAGGTAGTGATGCCTGCTGTGGTCATCTTAGATATACGGGATATCTGAAGAAGAATCCGCGGGCTTGGTGAATGATAAAATATGTCAACACAGGAAGTGGGAATCAAAGCTGAGAGCCAGGTAATCCAGGTCAGTGGTGATTGGTGATACTCGTCTTACATTTGGAGAATTTGGAGGGTGATACTAGTTTGCATCAGAAGATTCCAACCCCAGACTTGGACGAAAGGTGTAAAAATGTCAAGAGTTGAGCAACAGTGCCCCGTCCTTATTAGATTTTGCGGTAGCAGGGCTTCAGTGAGCTTGGATTGTGGAACTGGAATTTGAGAAACGTCAGAGTTGATGCAGGAAAAGTGTCCAGAAAAAGACTGTTTAAAATGAGAACCAGAATATTGCAAATGAATAGTGAGAGGTAGGAAGAGGTTAAGACTTTATGTTAAAAAATAAAATGTTTAAAACAAATATTGAAGAACATACAGATCATAAATGTAACTATGTACATTCTTCTTAAAGAGCGAATCAAGTTGTCTTCAGGTGTTTTTTGTCACAGCTGAGTAACGGTGCCGCACACAGCCTTCACATCGGCCACTCACTCTCAGAAAGATTGTTGTTTCCTGCAAAATGCTGCGGGAATGGTTGAGGGCATCTTTAATTTTTCCAGGTTCTCTTTAATCCCTTGATATTTAAATCATTCTTTTCTGAAGTACCCCTCCCTTATGGCACCTTTCCTTATTCAGAGGCCAAGGTCTCCCAGAGGCTGACTTCTCTGTGGTTTTGTTTACCTGTGATCAAGAGTTCACTAATATCTGCTTCCTTGTATCTTGTAGTTTTTCATTAGAGGAACCATTTCCCTTTGTGGTTGATTTGCATTGTTTTTGTCTTTGCCTGTAGAACTGTCAGTGAGAGACTGACAGAGACATTGACACCTGACCATGGGCTTCATTCCAGTAAAGAACGTTCAGCCCAGCAGAGCCCCACTAGCTGAGATCGTGAGAGTTAATGCATCTCTCTGGTTTTTAGGTCTAACACAATTTAGGCTTTTTTAAAACATGTAAGTTTTATGTAGTAGTATAGAATTTGCCTCCCAGAGCCCTGGTGCAAAGATTCTTAGCTAGAAGGACAATTGGAGTTTACATTTGAAAATCAGATTACCATATTGTTAACTTTGGGACAATAATCCATCGTACTTTTGTCCTGAGTAAAAATTACAGTGCTTCAGCAGTTATAAGCTGTCCTATTTTCTTGCTTTTAAACACAAGTTTTGTAAATTAAAATATCCTTTTGATCAAAATCCTCACATATCTAAAAAAAAAAAAAAAAAAAAAAAAACAGTCCTGAGACAAACATCAGATGACACAAAGTTTCCTAAATGTGCTGTGATCATTCTCGCAGCCACCTTCCCCTTCGAAGTATGTTCCTTTCTCACCCCATCCAGAATCGACCTCCCATCTTAAGGAATCTCTTCCTGCTAAAGCTAGCCTTCACTGTGCTCTTCTGAGCTCTTACAACAAGAAACTGAGTAATTTAACATTGCCTTTAATTAGTATCTTGATTATTTTCTGGGTATTAATATTTTCTCTGTAGCAATCTGCAAACTCCTTGAAATTTGATGTCAGGTTTGTTACTTCTCATATGACCTCCGTAGTCCTGACTTTCTTCCTCAAGGACCAGTTTGCCTTTAACCATGACTTCAAGCTGTTAACTAAAACATTCTTTTCTTTGGTTCTCAGTTCAGCTATCACACAAGTATTACGGATTTTTTTTTTTTAATGTTCAGATTGGAATTCCTATGTCCTAGTAGGCTTTTAGGATAGGCTTTCTCAATATGTTCAGAAAAGGATTTGATCCTGGAAACAAGATACTGTCAGTCAAATGTAGCTTGTTTAAAATAGTTATGTTTTCTGATGATAACATTAATATATGTCCTTTGAAAAATATAGGCAAGTCTAGGGAAGTAAATAAAGGTGATACCTGATCTGATTGCACAGAAATAACTAAGCACTGTTAACATTTCGGTTTCTTGCCTAACATTTTATCCCCCCGTGCATGGTGACATATTTTTTGCTTAATATTTTATGAACATCTTTTCATGTCAATAAATAGATCTGTATCATCACCTATATTAGTCACATTGTATTCCATTGCATGAGCATACCCACAGTGGACATTAGTGTTCTGCTGTTATATACAATACTATTATGGACATCCTATAAGTATTTTAGTGAATTTACCCTAAGACTCCCTAAAGATGAATGTCTTCCTAAAGATGAAGTGTGGTGGGTAGAACAGAGGGTAGGCACACATAAGTGCTCAGGTGTGTCACCCCAGTACCCCTAAAGCTTAGTGATGTCCCTGTCAAGAGTCTCCCCAGCAGTAGTCATCACTGACCTGTTCCTTCCCTCTGTCAGCCAAGTATCACCAGGCCTCCATGTCTGCCAGTCTGATGGCTATTTTTATTCTATTTGTCTGAATACTGATAGGTCTATTTTATCGGCTATTCATATGTCTTATTTCGATCACCTCAAATTATCTTTGCTCATTTTTCTGTTCAGCCTTTCTGTTATTTCTTTAGAAGAACTTTTGATACGTAAAGGTCATTTACTCTTTGACATGCATGTTACAAGTACTTTTCCCAAGTTGTGTGTATTTGTAGCGGGGAGGGATTTTTTTTTTTAAGCACACAGAAGTTTTAAACTCATGTCTAGCTATTTTATAAAAACACATTAAAATCCATTTAAACTTCTAGATAATTGATTTTTTTTCTTTATATATTTTGTGCAAACTTTTAAATCACAGACATTGTTTGTTCTAGATTTGGGGTACATGGTACAATATGGACACCATATTAAAACTTGAACTAATTAGAGTGACTTTTTTCCCCTTTGTCAGGTAGGCATTATTAATACTTTTTACTCTCTAATATCTGTGTGTGTATGTTTTATTTCCTCCACTGCACTACAGATTCTTTAAGGTCTGGGTCGATATCTAATTCGTCTTTGTGTCTCCCACTTTCAGCCATTTGTGAAACAGACAATAGTTACTTATCGTTTGTGTGGCACTGGTC